ATTATACACTAAGCTGCCCCATCCTCGCTGTTACAATGGGCAGTAGAGCAGTAAACACTATTCTCACTCGGTGTATGTTTACTTGTACACAGTGAGTGATTGTGTTTCACTTCATTAAATCTTAATATTTGCAGCTTTCAGAATATGTCTGTTGTAGATATCAAGACCTATACAATGCCTCCTGCCCGCGGCAATTACTGCATCGAAAATCAAGTATTTGAAGAAAAAGTGCAAATGATTTAAGCCTTTGAACTAATTATAACCAACACAACGATTATGTTGGACAAATAACATAATCTATCAAAGTCTTTTATTTCTATCGTACATTTGCTGTCTCTTATTTTTGTACCAAACACAAGGTTAGCTTTACCCCGAGTCCGCCTGCCGGTGGTTCATAAGTTATTTGATTTATAGCTAAAATGTTTCAGAAGTTATGTGTTAATATTTATGTTATACAGTGTAGAAGTTACTTAATGTACTATGGCTAATAATTTGAGCTGCAGAAACACACGAGCACAGTATAACAACAACGGTGATACCAATATTTACCACAATTATAGGTTGAAGACGGAACATATTTGGGCGTTTGATTGACGGTGAAAGTTTTGTTGTGTTCTGTGCCGCACGAGTCTTGGTTACTGCTGGAGGTGAACCTTAAAAACGAGATGGAATTTTTATAGTTATGGAGTGTTGGTTATTACGCGTTAGTCTTGTGTGTATAGAGCCAAAACAACTCTCTTGGTATCATATCTAACACTTTTACCGTATATTAGTTAGGCTCCGAGCACATTCGGTAGTGTGGTCTTGAAGTGCGGAGTGACAGCGATCACATGTAGTGTAGCTCGACGAGTTTACCACAATTTACTCTTTCATTGTTTTATTATAGTTGTTTGTCATTAATAACTAAATAAAAACAGCTATACATATTTCCCGTTACACTGTGTTGCGATTGTTTTTTTTATAATAATAACAATAACAAAAAAAACAGCAACAGATTCCACCACCATCAACTGAAGCACCGACCACCACCATCATCTGAAGCACCGACCACCACGGGAGCAATATTACCCTTTAAAGCTTAATAAACGCATCACATGTAAGTTAGTCGTCCAGGAGAATCAAGGCCGGCGAGATGGTCAAGTAGTTTATTTATACATAATTATACTATTGGGTGTCATGAGAGAACTGATATTTCTTTACATAATGTTCGTCCAAATGAAAGTGTTGCTAATGATGGTATTATGACTCATTACTGCGCTTCAACCTCTAATGTCTTGAGACGCTTATTTAATTCTAGTAAATACACCAGTCATCAAGAATTAAATAGAGCTACAGTACACCTCTCTGGCCCAACTCTTCCCAAATTCACACCTAACGACCGTTAAGCATCTCGAACCAACCAATCCCAAACCTTCAAAAGAGAATGTGGGCGGTGCTTCGGTAGTTATCCAGAACCAACGGAGTAGTCTGTGATTTAGTATTGGTTACTCGTGTTGTCAAGGTGTCGGGCTTTCTGCTCATTGTTTCACGACTGAACTTCTACGTGAGGGAAACGACTTTGCAGCGTACTAAAATATATTGACACACAATCATGGTGATTATAGAAATAATTTAGTGTATTGTATTAAGTCGTGTTATGATAATGGTGCAGTGTTTGTTGCTAGTGTGGTGTTAATTGTGGTGTTCTCTTACAGGTTCCACATCGTTCTGACTTTTTCGGAGGTGGTGAGTATTAATTCATATTTCTTACAAGGCTGATGACAGAATTCTGCTGTGTACCCAAGATACAGAGTGAGTGTTAGTAACAGAGGTAACCAGACATGACTTGGGTACACAGCAGCTCTGTCATCAACTACTCGTGCGTATTTATTTCTCATATTTATTTACGTATATGCGAGAGTTTTCCTGTTTATCCTATTATTGGTGCGTTAGATTATAATGAACTTTTCTATTTTATCATTCACCATAACTTAAGAGCAATACTGATAAGGGGAGCAGCGTGGGTCATAAACTGTAGGGTAATGTTAGTTGCTTAATGGAAGTATTTGCTGTAATAATCCTTTGGTCCTTATTTAAGTTTTGGAATTTGATGACGTAACCTTGTGTTGTTTTGGGTCGTGTACAGTACATTAGGTAGCTAACTTTTTATGTACAGTTTTTAATAACAATAACACTGTCACTGATGATTGGAACTTGCAGATCATTTTAAGAAATTCCTATTTTTGTTTGTGTTGGTTAAGATGAGCTATACAGTACATTAAGTACAGTACAGTATATATAAAGGAATGACGTCGAAATATCCAATATGGCTGTTGGTGCATTTAGTTATCTTAGTTACTTACTGTGTAACAAGGTGAGAGCGATAGGATACCATACAATATTTTTCTGCACCCAATAACTGTTATTAATCTTGAGTAATATGTGTTGGGTAAACACAACAGCGTGTTATTGGTAGAGCGGGCGAGAAAGCGTGCGTGTTATTGCTTGATTGTTGTGCTGGTGGTAAAGACTGTTAACTGCTTGTTAGGGTAAATGACGCAGTTGCGGGGGTAAAATACTTTTTGTCCAGTGTGTAATACAAAACATCAGGTGCTCTATGAGTTTTATTCTGTATACGAGTAGTAATTGGTTAAACACAATTTTTTAGATTCGTTATTGAACCTATCATAACCGTCCTCACTAGGCTTATGACCCTTTGAACGTCGTGTCATTTTGATTATGTAAAAATAGTTTCCGGTGGAGAGGTGAGATGGTTGTCATGGCCTCGGTGTCGCATGGTTAGACAGATTCTCATAAGCTTGTAACAATAACACTTTTCTCATATTCTGCTGGGCGTTGGTGCTAGCGGTGGTGACGCACATGTCTGATCGTAAAACACACACACACACACACACACACACACACACACACAACACGGATTCACTGATAAAGCAGACACACCAATATGTATTTACTCTAGTTATCAGATGGGGTATGTGGTGTGTGTTGTGGACAGACTGCAGCTGGGTGACACAGGCGCTTGATGATGTGGTGTGTGTTGTGGACAGACTGCAGCTGGGTGACACAGGCACTTGATGATGTGGTGTGTGTTGTGGACTGCAGACTTGCAGACTGCAGCTGGGTGACACAGGCGCTTGATGATGTGGTGTGTGTTGTGGACAGACTGCAGCTGGGTGACACAGGCGCTTGATGATGTGGTGTGTGTTGTGGACAGACTGCAGCTGGGTGACACAGGCGCTTGATGATGTGGTGTGTGTTGTGGACAGACTGCAGCTGGGTGACACAGGCGCTTGATGATGTGGTGTGTGTTGTGGACAGACTGCAGCTGGGTGACACAGGCGCTTGATGATGTGGTGTGTGTTGTGGACAGACTGCAGCTGGGACACAGGCGCTTGATGATGTGGTGTGTGTTGTGGACAGACTGCAGCTGGGTGACACAGGCACAGACTGCAGCTGACACAGGCGCTTGATGATGTGGTGTGTGTTGTGGACAGACTGCAGCTGGGTGACACAGGCGCTTGATGATGTGGTGTGTGTTGTGGACAGACTGCAGCTGGGTGACACAGGCGCTTGATGATGTGGTGTGTGTTGTGGACAGACTGCAGCTGGGTGACACAGGCACTTGATGATGTGGTGTGTGTTGTGGACAGACTGCAGCTGGGTGACACAGGCACTTGATGATGTGGTGTGTGTTGTGGACAGACTGCAGCTGGGTGACACAGGCACTTGATGATGTGGTGTGTGTCGTGGACAGACTGCAGCTGGGTGACACAGGCGCTTGATGATGTGGTGTGTGTCGTGGAGAGACTGCAGCTGGGTGACACAGGCGCTTGATGATGCACACTGGGAAAAATTACTCTGTTTTCACAAATCGTTTTTCCTAGTGATTTAAATTTGATTCTTACGTTAACAATTTATCTGAGCGATCGTTCGTATTTTTCCCATCACAATGCAGTAGTTATCAGTGTAGGCGTCTGCGTGATTGTGTGTTAGTGAGGGGCCATTATAATCCCCATTTAACCCCTCAGGCAAGACGCCCACGTCCTTGCACCACTTGTTATTTTCATTACTTTATTTTTCTCGTGTTTTCCTTTGTTTTAATCATCCATCTTGATCATAAATCTCTCGGGTAATGTTCGTACCTTCAACACACTTCACTAAACCTCCCCTTCAACCACATTCCCCCCCTGCCCCTCTGAGAAAAATATACAGGTACACATAAATTAAATCAGCAGCTGTGAGTTTCAAGCAGATTTGTAATGAATTCCAAGAAAAAAAAACCCTGATGGTAGTGATTTTGTCAGGATGAACCAGACTTGAATCAGACCCTCATTTGCTTCCTCCTGGTCCTCCTGGGGTGGGAGTTGTGTGTGTGTATTTCAACCTCTCAGATGTCATATTTCTGCTGATTAAAATACTACGACGCTGACGTTTATGGGTTGTGGGGTTGCCACAGCCGCTGTTAGTACTAACAATAATACTATTAACGTCAGTACACACACAAACACACACCGTTGTCAATAGTAATACTCGTACTAACACCAGAACTATAAATATCCTGTAGCAAAGAGAAGTGTGGTGCACCGGGTATTTGTGATTTAGTGAATCACTCATTTAAAAAGCACTGCATCAGCTGGACGAGGCGCTTATCTGTTCTCGGCAACAGACCAAACAACCTAACAATCTTATTACACCATTGCCAACCCCCAAAATTGCCTTAGGCATTAAGATAGGTTTGGTTGGGACGTGTTGTCTACCGTCTCGTGCACACAAACAAAAATTGCGTCCTCCATGGCGTTATCCAGCTGATGCGTCTCCGCTTTTTAAGTATGAATAGCAAAGAAACTAATATTTTCATATATGGAATTACAACGAATTTTTTGATGATTCTTGTTGTTGAAAAGTTTATTAAGCAGGCATCGCTGTACTTAAAATACCAATACTAACACAAAACAATACACTTGTGTACCACAACTACCACCACGACCCAGCACACTCACCGTTCTGTTGCCGATGGAGTGGACGCGACAGTGTAACTCTGCCTGGCGGCCTACGTGAGCTGTCTGGTTCTTGAGCATTGTTGAGTCGAAGTAGGGCTGGTCGGTGATGAGCGGTGGAGGCGGGATGAGGCCCTCACCTCGCGTCGACGTCAGCACGGCTGTCCAGGGGAAAAAGTGTTGAGTGAGTGAGGAATGTTTATTTAAAAGGGGATAATTTCAGTATATCATTTGGTGTAAAAAAAAAAATATATATATATAAGACGTTGGTCGTCTTACAAACGTGTTGTTTTTGGTCAGAAATGTATATCAACGTCATTTCATAATGGTGTTAAGTCTTGTGTTGAAAACAATGGTCTGAAAAAGACACCATTTCTGAATCATATTTCGGTAAGAAAAATTTATATAATAAAACATTCCAAGTTCTTTTGTGGTTACTTGGTGAGAGAAACGTCTTTGACAACAGAAATTAATGGCAGTAAAAGGTTAATTCAAGGCATTTGTGGCTTGGTTCAGTTGAGGTAATTGTCGTAAATAAAATTCACATGATGATCGTGCTTAAATGATCAACAAATCTTGAGGACAATACAGTGCGTGAGGAGCACAGTGGGTGGAGAGAGAGAGAGAGCCTAGTGATGAGTCTGTAGTCGACACAAACATTAAGTCGTTTTAGGAGCCAATATTTTATCATTTTTAGGATGCTAAGAGAGGGAAGTCTGGCGAGGACTGTATATCGTGACAGAACCATATTAAGAAAAGAGTCAGTTTTTTTAAATGTTAATAAATAATACATGACTGCTAAATATTTTTTTTTAGAATTAATATCAGAATACAATAATGGGGAGGAACCAGTGCACGCAAATATATTTCCCCTATAATAAACATCAATTTTTTTTTTGTCTGATAGTAGTTTAATCTGTAACCTTGCCGCTGGATGGCTATAGAGACACAGGCAGGCTTTCTCCTTACCTACTGCACTACTGTATACGTTTTGTTTTGGTGTTCCCCTTCCACCGTCCGTATCACCCCTATGCTTCACTTAGGTATCATCGGACATTAAGGAAATTTCGTGGCATTCATACCTACTTTTATCACGACAGGTTTGTGTGGTCAGGTCATCATCCTTAAGTGTGACGCTAATCGATACCAAGGCGAACGGGGTAGTGGTGCTGTCACATATATTCTGGGTTCTATAATAGTATACGACATCTTGATCCGCCCAATATCTGTCCGATCTTCTCGATTACCTTAATTGATTATACCAGTAGAGCGATTACGTACCACTGTTATAGATTGAAAGTACAGGAACATAAAGGTGTAGTGATTAATGGAAACTCTATGAATGCAGTAAATAAATCAACAGAGAACATTTAGGGTAAGGTCTTATCTAGCTCAAATAAAAAGTCCAGAATTATGAAAACTGCAAATTTCGCTCCTCGGCTGCCTCGACGAAATCTTGAGGGACCCACAATTGTCGGTAAGCAACGTTAATTCCCGCTGAAATTACTTGGACAATTCCTTGGAAAAATTGCCAGGGCAGACGGGTAAAATTTGTTCCGAATTAACCCTGATAATCCATCTGGGACGGCGACCAGACTCAGAGGCCGGGCAAAGTTAAGGGAAATTATGTGGACGACGCACGTGAGGAACCGACCAACCGGAGAAAATGTTTGTGGAACTGACCAGCCAGACAAGTTGCCTTGGGGAGTAGGTCAGCTAGACAAAATACGTGAGGGAGACTGACTAACTGGACAAAACTGGTAAAGAGAAGACCAGCTGATTGGCATAACGTTACACTTCTTGTTAGTATTCAACAACTAGTTAGTGTAGTGTTAAATTCACATAATTGTATGCCTGTTAATATGCAGTACTTGTACATAGACGATAAATCGTATGAACGTATACACTTTATACGTATGTATTTGTATGATTTTATGTATTCATTTAGTCTCCACACACACACACACACACACACACACACACACACACACACACACACACACACTTTCTGCCACCCATTCAGGAGAATCTCACGGGTCCCTATAAAGATGGCCGACCACTCTTGTCCCATCACGACTAAAATAACGTATCCATGTGTCTTCCTGTGACTCTATCGCTTCACCTGGGAAGTACAGGACTTACGCTGAAATTGGGCTGTTCGGTGAAATTGGACTTATGGTGAAGTTGAACTTTTTAAAGAAATTGCTCCTTATGGTACAACTGGAGTTTTGGGTGAAATTAGACTCTGGTAGAAATTGCAACTGAAACTTTCTTGTAAATCAGGAAAGGTCTTTTTTATATGTTAGCAGTAACGACACAACAGGGTTATTTTCTGTGAATCTGTTGGCGACAATGTGCTTTATTTTTTCATTTCAACGGATACTAGGCAACAGAAACAAGATTTTGAAATCTTGAATTTATTTATTTTTTTACAAGATAACAGCGATATCGTTTTATTTACACGTTAACATATAAAATACATCGGGGGAAGAGCCTTGTAAATCTTGGGTCGGTGTCCTATTTCTTTTACACATCAACAGATTAGAATCAATGGAATCCTCTTGAAAATGTAAAGAGGCGTGTAAAACAGGCTTTATTTGTCTTGTAAAAACTGATGTAATGTAAACTGAATCTATTTTTCAAACAAAGTTCAAATATTTACTCTTGTTAGTTACTGAAAGTCACGAGCGAGAGAGAGAGAGAGAGAGAGAGAGAGAGAGGATGAAAGGAGAATAAGTTATAAGACAGACACAGAGAGAAAGGTGGGAAGGCTAACGAGAAGAAACGATGCACACTCGAAGGATAATAAATGAGCGTGCAGGAGCGAACACGATAAAGAGAGAATAAGAAGTGTAATGATGATTTAGGGAATGGAACACAGTGGTTAAGACTATTATTTTAAGAGTGACTGATAAACCAAGGGTAATGAGAGACGGGATAAAAGAGGGAAGAGGGGTCAGATAAGAATGCTAATGACGATGATAATGAAAGAGGATGGGGAGAGAATATTTCATGGACTGATGGAGATAAAAATGGGAGAAACTGAGAGAGACAAAGAGAGAGAGAGAGACAAAGAAAGAAAGAAAGAAAGAAAGAAAAAAAGAAAAACAAAGCAAGAAGCGTGGATGGCGTGGGAAGAATGTTTTTAGAATGGTGGAAGTGAGAGAAAGAACAAAATAGAAAGAGGAAGCTGTAATAAATCGTGGACTGGGATGGAGGAAGGGGAGAGGGAAGGGTAAATTTGGAGGCAAGGCGTGAAGGTCGTTAATGGTCGAGGTGGCTAGAACCTGTCTCTAATAGCTTGCACACACACACACACACACACACACACACACACACACACACACATGTCCTCCGCACTTGTACATTCCTGAGAAAAAAATTGTTATACATCTTTGGAAAAAAAAATTGTGTTGAGATTTTCTTGACAAAACAAAAATCGTACATTCATAAAAAAACATCTGTTTACACCTCACAACACTCGCCAGCGTTTATAAGACATTACCCGCACCTCCACATATGAGTCGCCAGTCACCCATGTGTGTTTTTGTTTTTAATTTGTTAGAAAAAGTCACTATGTCGATTTTTTTTTTAGATATGTGAAGTTAGGTAAGATTTTTCGTCTCCGTATATGGGATCTATCACTCTGTGGGGTGGGGGGGGAGGCTATATATCAATCTGTCTGTCTATGTCTGTCTTTATATCATTCTACATGTTTCTTCCTCAGCCATGCACAATGTATCTCTAAGAGTCACTTATTTATGTAGTGGAGTTCAGTAATTGGGAAAAGTTGATCACCTACTGAGAGACCCAATTTAACTGCTTTTGGCAATGATAAGTTATATAGTTTTCTTCTCTATATATGTAGAGAAGATTGTAGTATGGATGTATTTTGTATTTTGTAGACGTAGAGGAGAGAAAGAAGTCATTTATTTATTTTTTTAGGTTTATAGTTGACTTAAGAATGAATTTTACTTATTATCTCAGCAGAATAAACTCACGAAATATTATCACACTTGCGAGTATTTAAATGTGTATGGATGTTAGATATTCCCACGAAATACCATTATGTTTTATGTTATTAATGAGTATTAGCGTTAAATATACCCATGAAATATAATCAGACGTTTTTCTCTTTTTTTTTACGGGGATTAGCCCACCCGGGCACAGGTCATTGGCCTACAGGGCCTGGGGGGTGAAAATATAATAATAATAATAATAATAATAATAATAATAATAATAATAATAATAATAATAATAATAATAATAATAATTAATACAAATAATAAAGATAAATAAAAATTATAAGAAATAAAATAAAATACAAATAAAAATAATAATTATAACCACAAATAAAAAACAAATAAATAAAAATCAAGAGTGACAAACGATGTACTGTACAGTATGTTGTGTTGTCAAAGTAAGAGAAACCCTGCAATTTTGTGTAAATTAATATGTATTAGCGTTAAATATACGACGAAATATCATAATTAACTTTATTAGTGTGTATGAACGTTAAATATACCCACGAAATACCAACACACTTGACGTTATTAGTGTGTATAAGCGTAACATATGCTCAAGACACACCATTATACTTAAGATGAGCGTGTGTGTGTGTGTAAAGGCCAATATTTACCCTGGAGTTAATTATGAACTGCGCGGGCGGGAAACTTTCCGAAGACATGATTGACTGGACTCGTTGCCGACTCGTCAATTTCGTTGTGACTTATGAGTAGAAAGTATTTGACGTTTCTGTAGTTTAAGCAGGGTATCCTGGGCAGTACTTTACAGGCATACCAGCTAGTATTAATAGCGGTAGTAAGGCCGTGGACTAGCTATACTAGAAAGTGCAGGTTTGGTCATAAAAAAAAGTTAATATCGCCTTCTGGGAACCGTTTGAAGTACGATACGCCAACTTGGTAAACGAGTTCCTCCATTATTGCCACATCCAGAACCCAGATTCACAAAGGTTCGTACGATGAATATTTCTCGTAACTTAAGATATTACGATGTACTTAAACTCCACATATATAAGGTTAGAATTGTCATAAATATTTCACTCATTCTTTACCCTATCTAGATACTGTACTTTCACTTAGCATCCGTTAGCGAGGAAAAATATTATATACGTAAATTTTATCTAAAGTGAATATACCTAGTTAAGATGGTCTCATTATAATAGGCATCTTAATTTTGTACTGTAGTTGAAGTTAACCAGTTAGCTGCATCCAGACGTCTTGAGTTAAGAGGAATATTCACCGTAAGAAAGTTGACACAGTACCCCTGAGACTCTGGGCCCAGGACACACGCCAGCAA